GGTTAAAAACAGTGAAGTGGATTTACCATTTGGTGGCACAATAGTACGAGAAGCTGCAACAACACAATTTTTATAGTACAATCCAACACAGAAAGAGAAATAGATAAAACAATGCAGACATCCTCTTCAGCGGACCAGAGCTGGCAAAAAGAGGTGGTGTTGCAGCAAGCACCATATTCTTGGGCGAATCCATCAAGCATTATTAGAGAAACTCTCAGAGTATGGTACCAATAAGCTTTCCATATACCAGAGGTTCTTATCATCTACTTACAAACCCAGAGTGGAAGATATGAACTTGTCGAGCAAGGTAATCAGATAAAAAATGACAGAAATGATCAAAACTGTCACAAGGGGACGATATAGAATTGTGTCGAGATGGTATTGATGCTCTTAACTACAAACATGCCTCCGAGATTTACACAAGCAATTGGACTATGGGTGGGTGGAGAAAATGCTAATAGTCCTAGGAAAAGGTAGTGGTGACCAGCGCTCATCCCTGATCCACTTGATTTCTGCCAGATTCCAGTTACTTACATCACCTCACAGCGATTGCACCACTCTAAGCTAGGCCTGTTGGTTTTGCAGGAGAGAGGGAAGGCTTGGGTCCTCTACGGACCACCGAAAGAGGAAAACGATATATCCTTATTATGGTAATCTACTTCCCAAAAACGGTTGAGACAGAATTTGGGAGAACACAAAACACTGAAACAGTTAATTATGTTTTCTCTTATTTGCCGAATTTGTCTACACATAGTGCCAGAAACGGTGCATGGAGATCAAAGCCGTAATTTCCAAAGTCGACTCTTCATCGAACTATGCAAGACGTACAGGATCTCCAAGATATGCACCGCATCTGCACATGTGTAAGGTAGTGGACAGGTGGGGAAATCGAATTACACCCCGCTTGGTCTGTTGAAGGATTTCACCGAGTATGCGTAATTGAAAGACTAACATTTGCTCTGTACGGTGTCTTTTTTGCTTTAGGGCTACAGTTCATGTACCAGTGGACATTTCACCGTTCAAGATGCTCACAGGTGGTGAATATAGAAAACCAACTGGCCCTTTTTGATTAAATCCTAAAACAGCAATCCAAAATATCCCTGGATATGTACTACCACGAGATGCGATAAACTTCCCACACTGCACGGAGACATCTGCTACCATGATATATTAGCCAGAAGACCTATAATGACAGCCAAAGTTGGCCTAATGTTAACCAAAAGTAGACATATTACAGTTATATGTGCCTTTCCCGCCATTTGAAGTGCATCGCTGAGTGATGATAGTCATTTCATATACAAACTACCTGATTTACAATGCACAACTCCATATCCAACATCTCAAGGTTCATTATAGAAGATGCTTCAGTAAAAAGCTACACCCTCCAGTAGGATTTGAAGACAGTTTTCATATCAGGGGGAAGGAAGACCATTAGAAATAGCAGATGTAGAT